CTCTCTCTCTCTCTCTCTCTCTCTCTCTCTCTCTCTCTCTCTCTCTCTCTCTCTCTCTCTCCCTAGGAAAAATGTGTCAGTATGTTCGTGTGTGTGTCCGTGTGACCGTGTCTATGCCCGTTGTCGTGGTTCAATCTACCCTACCGCTGTTGTGCACCACCGTGAACACCAAACACTCGAGAGACATGAAGAGCATGGCGGACAACAGACGATCGGAGAGCAGTTGCAGCATCGCGACGAATGCGATGGGTAGCGTACAATAAACTACCTTCTCTACGCAGTTGAGCCTCGGCATCATCCCCTTCGTCGCCATTATCGTCACCCGGTGGTCCATCGTCGTAGTTGTCTTCGTCGCTATCTTACCCCCCTCTCCGTCGCAGCAAGTCTTTGTCGACCGTGATGCCTGCGTCGATGATGATGTTGTGCAGAATGCAGCACGCGAAAAACTGGTAACACACGTTGCGCATATTAGCTATGTGTTTCCGACCAAAGCAACGCCACATTCCTTTCAACCGACCAAAGCACCTTTCGATCACACTGCGAAGGGCGGAAAACTTGTTGTCAAACACTCTTTCCTCTGCAGTCCGCTCACATCCTCCAAATGGAATCATCAGCCACGGGAGGATCGGATAACTAGCGTCCCCCATCAGATATCGTCCCATTACTGTGCCATCCATGAGGACGTTTGTCCTCCGAACGAAAGGCTCCCTACCCTCCTCCCCGCGGTTGTACAGATCAGAAAAGCGCAGTATACGAGAATCGTGCACCGTCCCCGGGGCCCCGACGGTGACGTCCAAAATGCGCAGGTTCTCATCCCACACTACTTGTGCGACGATGGAATACTGCCTATTTCTGTCGAAATATGGTTCAGCCTCGCCACCACGGGGCTTGTCGATAAGGATATGTGTACAGTCAATCACACCGAAACAGCCAGGRAATCYTTTCCCCTCATAATAATCTAAAGTCTTTTGCAAGCGATCCCCGGTCGACCAAGACAACACATGGCCATACTCGTCACAGAGAGCTCTTGCGACGTCGTCTGTGCATCTGATGGCACTGTGCAGTCCTAATCCGAAGTCGTTGCCACACTATCGGTAATATCCCCCTGTCGCCCATCGGTATAGCGCGAAGGCGAACTTCAAAGACGCCGACAAAGCCTGTCGATAATGGGTGTCCATCCTTTGTATCCTCGGCGTGATCCGCTCCAAAATCTCGTCGAACAGAGGCCTCGTAAGCCGAGTGTACTCACGGAATTTTTTCTCGTGTCCCAGTCCCTCCATATTCAGCTCCTCCCATGTCCCTCCCACTCGCTCTCGGACCCAAAGCCGTCTCCGTCCTCTGCCTCCCAATGGATTGAAAGCTCCTCCCCCGCCATGTCCTTCATGCAAGTTGTATGCTAGGAGCAACAAGATTGTGGTCGCATTGTGCATGGCGACAATGTTCGTCACAGCAAGCATGAGCATCATCGCCATGAGCACGCACTTTTGCTCCCTCTTTCGCACCCATCGAATGACGGCGGCAAGCACCATGCCGAGATGGCCAGGTCGCATGTCTTCCGATGATGGGCAGAGAGAGAGAGAGAGAGAGAGAGAGAGAGAGAGAGAGAGAGAGAGAGAGAGAGAGAGAGAGACCTACGCCAACGAAATGGAGTGACGAGAAGAAGAGCATCATCGCCAAAAAGCAAAGCACTGCGGGCGGCGACGTGGCATTACCAAACACCCCCAAGCGTGAAGCGCCACGTTGCCGAAAACCGAAGGACTGAGCAAACAGCAGAGGCGCGATGAACACAGGCGATGGCCGTCGGCCGAAAATGCCAACGGTAGCAGGAGTTCTGCTCCACCGCTCGCGAAGTTCCTGCGTTGCTATCGTGTGCATCTGCTTGGGCCCAGCCCGGTACCGTACCCTTCCGCTTGAGCGTCGTTCGGACCCAAAATATGCCACACAACATCTGCCACATGAAACCGGCAGGCCGCACAACACCCGACCAATTGTCTGGGTGGACGACTTCGAAAAGTAGGTCTATTGTCACGCCCATACATTTCCGGCGCAAATCCTGAAAAAGAACCAAATATCGTGGACTGGTGGGATCCCATTTCTCTTTTACGGTCTGCCCGGAACGGGCCCTACAAAACCGTTCTTTTTTGTGTCTTTCCAAAAAGAATAGAGGTGGGATCTGACCCTTACTTAAATAAGAAAAAAGGGGACAACTACGCCTGTGACCGCTGCACAGTTTCAAATTTGCACGAATAACAGTCCACTGCAAGTTTGGGCGAGGACCAGAATGAAACTGCAAGAAAAACAGTAAACTATGCCTTCGACGGCCTACCGGTTCAATAATTGGCAAAAACGGGAGGTGGCCTGAGCTAGTGGTACCTCCCTTTCTCCCGTGGCCTGGCCTGGGAGCAGGTACCGGTAGCAGGCCCTCCCATTTTTTGGTTTTGTTTTTCCCCGCGCCGCCCGCAGGACTCAGTTCGGGTTGGAAAACGACACCACTGACGGTGCCACCCGCCCCATGCGCTCTCTCTCTCTCTCTCTCTCTCTCTCTCTGCTGCTTGGCCCACAAAAGTACGAATGTATCTGGTCCATTATCTGCATCAGATACATTCGCAGATTTGTTTTTGGCCATGCTAATCTTCTCTGTAATGTTTCAATTCCCGC